GTGTGTGTGTGTGTGTGTGTGTGTGTGTGTGTCACTTTCACTGTCTGGTGCCTGTATCATGAGACCAGCTGGTGGTGGGTCAGCGTGCCCAGACCGATATGGTGGAATGTGATGAGAGGTAGAAACAGAACTGTGAGGAAAGTCCCCCACTCTGACTTTAGGCAAAGATTTAAAGGTTTCACCATACGCAGGAGGTCTAAGTGTTATCAGTTCAAATAAAACGCATCATTTAGCTATGAAAAGAGGCTTATTTGGTTGCTTTTCTGTTGGATCATTCACACAAATGGCTTGCATGAATGATCCAACAGAAATGTGCCTTAATTTGGTTGCTTTTCTTAAAGATTAAGTTTCTGTGTTGTTGTTTTTTTTTTTGTTTGTTTTTTTTCCCCCCCATTAAATATCAAAGGTCAGTAAGTCCCGTTAAAAATGTCATATCATATCAGAAAAGGAAAACAAAAGGAGCTGTGATGAGTCAGACTTCGCTAGCATAGGAATCTGTAAAGGTTACTATCAAATTGGCCATTGCACTGATTTTTAAGCCTGATCAGAAGCTGTGAGTTTAACAGGAATTCTGTCGAGTTGAGACACGGGTCAACATAAGGCCTGAGGTGGATGACATGACTTGTGCAATGTGTGGCTACTCACATGGTTTAAAAAAAAAAAAAAATCTATTCTTCTTCATAGAAATGTCAAACCAGCATGAGCAAGCTGCTTTGTGACGTTTAACTGATGCTGGAATATGCAGCAGAATATTTAAAGGCAAACTCAGATGACAACTGTCCCAAATATTAAAAGCAATCCATCTTAAGGGGGACCCATCATGTAGATTATCAGTCCATACTTTTATTCTTGCAATAGATATTTTTGCATTATTCACAGTTCAAAATAATCAAACTTCTTCAAAGTGAGCGCCATGGTCTCTTGACACTGTGGCCACACATCTGTCTGCCTCATCAGAGGTGGAGCAATGCATGAGGCTGTCCGTTGGACCAGGCTGCACAATAATCGGGCGTTTCCCACGCTGCACATTGGCTCAGGGCTAACCCTCCCAGTACCAACACTGCCGGGGGCTGTTGGTTTAGCAACCGTCGCCATGTCTGAGAATGAGAATGCATGTCGTGGAGAGCAGGAATTTGTACACAGATCCCCTACAACCAGCAGAAACCTGAAGGACTGGAAAAAGAGGCAGTGATCAGAATGTGATAAATCCCCATAAGGGCTCAGGATTTGAAGAGAAATACATATGCTGTCTGCTGGAACAAGTTGCATTTATATCAGCATTAGCATCTCATATGCCATTGGATGGAAGGCGCGATTCATAGAGCTATGATAATTAGAAATGACACAAATGTTAAAAAGTTGAACTATCCTTAACCACAGACTTTCCCCTGCTCCTCTCCCTCATCTTTTACCTCTGCCTCTTTTATAGGCTGCGTGAGCCTTATGTCAACCCGCATAGCCTTGCCACTGTCTGGGTTACTTATTGACTGTCTCAGCCAGGTCTTAACTCCAGTAATTCTGCAGTCCTTCTCTGATCCGCATACTGGGGCGGATTTAAGCATGATATTAGACATTTTCCCTTTCAAAGGCTCTTTGGCTTGTGGATTCACTGGTCAGTGTTTTATGTATTATGCCAGAATGACTGGTCAACCTGCCCGTGGCCCAATAGCGCAGACGGTAAACTGGGGCTTTTTTTATTTTTTTTTATTTTATAAATCCTAATCCTTTTGTCTTCTCCAGGTGATACAGCCGGACTTCTTCCAGAGAATTCCTTCAAGGGGTCCAAATATGAGTTTGGAAGTATTGGCCTGGCACTCTACAGTGGCCTGTTTGCTTACGGTGGCTGGTGAGTTAACACATCAGCCTAGCTGTGCAATTAGTTTGCTGTCCACTGTCTGCCTGTATCCAGTTTCCCTCAATTCAAATGTTAAACCTGGTGCTTGGAGACGGTGTGAAAATGGATCAAACGCTGGGGCATTTTGTCAGTAACATATCATCTGATAAGTCCAATGAATGGCTATTACAAATAACACTGAACATACTGTACATTACTAATGTTTCTTTTAAATAATAAATATCAGAAAAATAAAGGTTCAGTGCATCTTCATTGCTTTTTACTGTTCCATACCTATTTGTTGTCTCTTTTGTTTCCAGGAACTACTTGAATTTTGTTACAGAGGAGATGATTGAACCTTACAAGTAAGTTGATCACAATTGTGATTTTTACCTTTAAAATTCATGTGGAGTAGTCAAAAGTCCGCAGTTGTAATCAGCCTGCCGTTGTTGTACGTTTTCCTCAGAAACCTTCCTCGAGCCATCATCATCTCCCTGCCGATAGTGACAGCAGTGTATGTCCTAACAAACTTGGCCTATTTCACCACACTCTCCCCCGATCAGATGCTTAACTCAGAGGCTGTGGCTGTGGTGAGTGCTTTGAGCTGCAGTAATGTACAAAAGTCTTGAGCCATCCCTCATTTCTTTATATTTTGCTAGGAAAATGGGAAATTGGTTCGGTGATTTATTAAAAGATATAAGACAAAAACAGAGTTTGTACAGTTCTAACAAGCTTGAAAGTCTGTATTTGGTATGCTTTAAGTGCTTCCTATCACACACATTCATACTCCAATAGATGCTTCGGAGAGGAGCTTGGAGTCTTTCCGAAGGATATTTGACATGCAGACTGGAGTAGACTGAACCAGCAACCTTCTGATTAGTATACAACCTGCTCTAATCTACCTCCTGAGTTAAAGCCAATCCAAAACCACCCGTGGAGCAGAGGGAAATTTTCTTGTAATTCCTCTAAGTGGTCTTAGGGAATAGTTCTCCAGGCTTCTTCAAGGACATTTGAAGCTCTTCTTTAGATGCTGACTGGCTTTTGTTCCATTCTTTATCAGGATGATCGCATACTACTTTAATAATGTTGAAGCCCAGCCTCTGGGGAGGCCAGTTCATGAGTGATAGTGTGTTTTTCTATCCAGGTGTGCTTACTGCATAGTGTTTGGGATCATTGCCAATTTGAAAAAATGAAGCCATTGCCCTGACAGAGCCTCCACCTTGTTTTATAGCAGTATTTTAAGGCAGCCAGTGTCCAAAGAAAAACTTTAAGACACCTTCAGGAAGCCTGGAAAACTACTGCCCGGGACCATTTTATGTTTAGTTTCCAAGAAGTCGGTCTTGATTGTAATTGTCTTAAAGAAATTAGCAGCACTGTATATTTGGGTGGGGGGTATAACAGGTCCAAAGATGTGAATACTTGCTGCTGAATGCTGAATATATGTTGCTGATGTTGTTGCCTACAGGATTTTGGTAACTACCACCTGGGTCCCATGGCGTGGATCATCCCGGTGTTTGTAGGCCTGTCCTGCTTTGGATCAGTCAACGGCTCACTGTTCACATCATCCAGGTAACACTCTCACACCAACCATGTTAAAAAAAAAACTCGTGCGCACACACACACACAATTAGCAAGTGTTAAGAGTCAAGATTAGAAACACCCGGAGCCTCTTCATCTTTCTTTTCACAGCGATTAATCACATATCTGTGTCTTTCTATTCATCTCAGGTTATTCTTTGTGGGTTCTCGGGAGGGTCACCTGCCCAGTCTGCTGTCAATGATCCACCCCACTCTGCTGACCCCACTCCCCTCACTTATATTCACTGTATGTTTTTGGTTTTTTAACTTTCTTTATTGGCACGCAAGAGAGTACATCTTCTGAAACCATAGCTAAAATAATAGTGTGCGTGTCTTTTCAGTATTTTAATTTGTGGGATCTCACTTCACTTCACTGCATAATAGGTTATTATATACAGTTACAGAATATTTTTAATTAATTTTGAATAAAAGGACAAAGGTGAACTTTTCTGAAAACAAAGACTTTTTGCTGCTCTCTTACACAGCTGAGAATCAAACCATACCAACATGCTAGCAACTTACACCTGCTCAGTTGAACTTCAATGAGTTACTTTATTTAATTGCATACAGAAAATCTCATACTTGGAGGCAGTGTCACCAGACTTAGAGAGGTAATGTTTTCCCTTCTCTCCGTCTGTCCAGTGTTTAATGACGCTGCTCTACGCCTTCTCCAACGACATCTTCTCCGTCATAAACTTCTTCAGCTTCTTCAACTGGCTCTGCATCGCCATGGCAATCATAGGAATGATGTGGCTCCGCTATAAGAAGCCTGAGCTGGATCGACCAATAAAGGTGAGTCAGCCTCGAGAACTGTTTTTAAGAGGTTTTCAGCAAAAAATGTGGCTGGGGGTGGAGAGAACTAGTCTGTCAGGCAGGCCAAAACAATGGATCTTCTCTTGGTCTTTGTCATCATTGACTCCCACTGAAGTTGGCTTTGGCAGCAGGAAATCTTCCTTCTTTGTGTAAAGCGACAGACAAAGATCCATTCAGTGCAGATGAACAGATACTGATCGCAGATTAAAGACATGAGGGGAGCTGGATGCTAGTCAGCTGGTGCTGAGGCTGGCTGCGTGTGTGCGTGTGTGTGTGTGTGTGTGTGTGTGTGTGTGTGTGTGTGTGTCTGTGTGCATCGTGTGTACTCTTGTTACCATTCTGTGGGGATCTGAATGTGTTTATACAGTCAGTGTGGGGAAAAGCAAAAAAAAGTCTTTGAATGTTACATTTGAGGTTGAAAGCTTTCACAATTAGGGTCCAGATTTGGAAAGTTAGCTATGGTTTGGGTAGGTTTGCACGATCTCCGTGATGTCCTCTGAGGTGATGGAAACACAAACGTTTGTGTGTGTGTGTGTGAGTAAGAGGAAGAGCGCTACCGCCGCACTCTCCGCATCACAGAGGACCCTTGTTACAATTTGAGTGTGTGTTTGATGGTCAGAGGCGGAAAAGTGAAAGAGGCAAATGGATGTACTGGTCCAGTCCTGTGTGAAAGCGGGTGGCTGGGACAGGAGCGGCACTGTCCCTGCTGACCTCCATCTCTCTTTCACTCTCCCACTCTTTTCCTTTCTCCTTTCTTTGTCTGTCACATTCCTGCTGTTCAGCCAATGAGAGTAGTGGAGAATCACAGTTAGATTTATTCCTTTTTGTAGGAGAGATACAACACTGTGCCCTAAGAACAGTTCAGCTATTGACAGTGTCCACTCACATTGATGCTACGTGGCCAAATGCATCTGAACACATGTGCATCGCATATATGATTATTGAGCACAGACGCTATCAAACATAACCCGGTAATAAGGATTACTACAGTGGCACTGGGAGGTCAAATACACTGCTTCTTCTTCTTAAGGTATTATTGGTTGTTGTAATACTGCTGCAGCTTTTTTCACACCACAGTTTAAATTTTTCTGGGAGACGCATTCACAGCTTATGTGTTGTGAGGGAGCAAAAGATGCAGGTAATTTTAATTGGATAATCCATAAGATACTGTAGATGCATGTTTGCTGTTAGCCGTTTATACTTCTGTTGTGTTTTGTGAGCTTTTTCTGTGTTTTTTCTATTTACTGGTGTTTTCTTAAGTTGCAGTGCATTTGGCCTCTCAGGGCCACCATAGATTATAAGGACAATCTGTGAAAGATTTAGACTTTATTGAATCGTGCCACCTGCCACATCCTGGCATCCCATTTTATCACCTCAGCTAACCAGAGCTGTGAGGGTGGCGGTGATTCGATATTTTACTTGGCTGATGATTTTTACAACTGAAGGGTGCTAATGGAAGAGTCCATTAGTTGACACTAGTGGTTAAATGAGTTTATCTAGCATACATAATAGGGAGCATCCTGTCTTATTGCATCTAGCTTGGCCAGGTTAGATATCACAACGACTGTATATAAAAGATGGCCGTAGGTTCTGTGCATAGAGTATAAATGATGGATTTAGCCACCATGATGTCCCTCATTGGTTTAGGATTGGATTTTGAGCCTTCCTTGTTAGCATTTCCGCTGCCACCTTATGTGGATGAAATGGTTTAGTGCTAATGTTGTAGCTGCCATAGGGGCAATGCAGACACACACATATTGGCTAAGTGGTGCCACGCCCGTAGCTCAGTTATCCAGGTGGATACGTTGTAAAACAGTTTACGTCATAACTGTTTTTTGTAGCATATTGCAAATATTCTTTTTCCTGCTACAAATTTGGGTATTTTAGGAGCTTTTGACTCCTTTTGCGAGCCTGTCTCAAGTGGCTCATGGAGGAACTGTAGTTTTGGGTCACTTCGCGCTGACTCTAAAACATCGAGCCAATGCAGAAGTGGCTTACAGCGGCGTTATTTCTCAGCAAACACTCAGTTATGAGTTTTTGTGCTTCTCCCTGCAGGTGAACATTCTGCTACCAGTGAGCTTTGTGTTAGCCTGCCTCTTCCTTATCATCGTCTCCTTCTGGAAGACTCCAGTCGAGTGCGCCATCGGCTTTGGGATCATCGGCACTGGACTGCCCGTCTATTTTATTGGTGTGTGGTGGCAGACTAAACCCAAGTGGCTGCGAAATGGAATCCGTAAGTAAAACAAACTCCTCCCCCTTGTCTATGAATATGTTACTTGGAGCATTTTATTCCACCTGTTTTTGTGTGCGCTTTTAATTTGTGCATTAACCTCCTAAGACCCAAACTCTTCCACGGCATGCATTTTTAATTTCTCTTTCATATTTGGGCATGTTGGGGCCCGATGAATGTAAAAACAAAGAATTTCCAGATTTATTTATTTATTTATTTTTTACCTTATTTTTGTTTTTAAGAAAAATAAGAGCCTCATATGAGGACATTTGTTTAACATTTTGATAGAACAGTAGCAGTATCATGTCCTTGTAAGTGGATATCAGGCCCTTGTAGAGCAAAATTGAGTATTTTGGTCTAAATAACCCAAATGTGATGTCCACTTATGTGGACGCCAGGTCCTATGAGGTTAATATAAACTCAGTTGATTTTTACTTATCTCAAGTTGTGCGTGAAAGTTTCAATGCTAGGTTCAATAAAAACATGACAAGTTTTTCTTCTTGAAACTTTTTAAAATTGTCCTCCGTTCTGCTGCTGATTAATATTTTAGGTTTATACCTTTGGTGTGTTGATCCGTATTTCTTTCTTCAGCTGCTGCATTTTGTCCTTGTCAGTTTCCAGCTAAATAATAACATTTAACAATTGAATGTAAAATTTGGTAGGATTTCAGATTTATCATCTCAAGGCTTTACGTTGGGTAAAGAAAGATATGGTGTTGGTCCACACTGATAGGCTTTCATATTTCAGCTCCATTCATTTGAACATTTGCTTTGCTCTTGATTTATATCCAAGTTTTTTTTTTGTTTTTGTTTTTTTCTTTCATCGCTGAGTTAAATGTTTAACTCCAGGTGACCTCAGCTGTTTTGGCCCCTGAAACCCGGTTCAGGGTTAGACTCGGTTTGCTAAATCTGAAGGAGGTCCCTGTTAAAGGTTTTTATTAGTGGTGATCTCATGTTTTCCTCACTCATAGCTCTCCTGAGTGGAAATAAGAACGCCGCTGTGGCCTTTAAGGACAGATAAATGGGACTTGGGATGCAGTCGGTGTATTTGAGCTCTGTTTGGGTGGAAACTTAGGTGAAGTGATGATTAACCGTCTCCGATGTTTGTTTTTCAGACTCGACCACAGCTCTGTGTCAGAAGTTCATGGAAGTTGTGCCTCAGCAGTCCTAAAAACCAAGTTGCCCTTTTACTTCAGCCAAAAGGCCAAGACGATTGGGCTAAGATATCATAACTGATGATGTTTGAACTCCGTTAATGCTTTTCTCACACACACACTCTCTCTCTCTCTCACACGCACACACACCTCATTTGAACTTGATGAAGACATCTGAAGTTAAACAGCCATCATCATTCTTTGGGGTTATTTGACCCTTTTAGTGTCAATAATTTGTAGTTTCTTTTTTTCTTTTCTTTTTATAAAACAAGAACTGGTTTTTTTTTTTATTTTTTTTTTTACATTTTCACTAATTGTTCTGTGAATACGTCTAATCTGCTGTCACCAGAAACCTGTTGTATTTAGCGGTGCCTTTACGTTGCAGATGAAGGTGAGCGTAGGTGGGCGATGATGCAGAACCAGCTGTCAAAATAAACAAAAAACAAGCAAACACAACAACAACTTTTCCCTTCAGGAAGTTGTTGCTGGATATCACTACACACTCTGTTTTGCTCCTGCAGCAGTCTTTACAATTTCAGTGTTGTGTTGTTGTCTGTGCTGCTGTGCTTTTGACAGTAAGCATCTGTCTGCCTCTCAGTGTTGGTTATTTGACCTGCATGTTGTGCGTCTGTGCACAAAGCTGAACAGAGGCTGTGCTTTTTTTTTTTTTTTTCCTTTTTTGAAATATTTAAAGACGATCAAAGTGCTGACGTCCTCTCACATGTAGGCCTGCTGCTGTGGTTTTATATCGGGTAAACGGGCAGTAAATTAAACCTAATGTATGTTTCGTTTGTCTGGCTAACCAAAGCCCGACTTAAATTTATCTCCGAGTATAAAAAATGTGCAGTCTACTGATTCCTCATAGGACTTCTGTGTCTGAAGTGTCTTTTAAATCCTCATGTGGTTAAGCTTGACAGAAGTGCCCATGGGAAATAGTATTTTCTGTAAAGTGGGTCAAAATGTGCAACCTTTCTGCTGTTCTTTTTGTGTTTTTTATTTTTTTTTAGGGCGGGGGTGGGGTTGTCACTGATGTCAGTGATCAATATGTTGGATAACTGAGCCTGGCTCCCAGAGTGCTGCTTTTACTCCATTGCACTGAAAGTGTTTGAGGCAATGTTTCCAACTACATGCTGCAGTAAAGCCATGTAACACTCACAGCACGAGGCTAGAATGGAAAGACAGAAACAATGCAGTTTTGGTCTGTGTGTGTGTGTGTGTGTGTGTGTGTGTGTGTGTGTGTGTGTGTGTGTGTGTGTGTGTGTGTGTGTGTGTGTGTGTTAAGCTTAAATGCTCCCCTCCAAATTATTCCATGCAGTCCTGCTCCATTTTTGTATTTTGGGACCGTTAAAGTGAAGTGACACAGGAGTTTCTGCCTAGTTATACCCAGACTGTCAGAGAGGAAGTTTGATGTTTTTATTTTTATAATGGGTTCGTTGAGAGATGCAGCACGTTTTCACATCACAATATAACTGGTAGTTTTTCATTTTTCATCCTCGTCTTTTGTTTGTATTTCATGCACAGTAAAAGTTACAAACAGAAAACTAGAGCTGCATTATTAGTGTCCACCCCGCTCCTCCTGGAAAAAGGACCAAAAGTACAGGTTACCATGGCAGCGGTGGATCCAGGAGGAGTGATGTGTATGTTATAGAGTTAGAGCCTTCTAACACTCCAGCCATCGCTCAGAGCTGATGGAGAAACTAACATAAATGCGACTGTAGGAACTTTATTTATTTGTAGCAAACTTTTGATGTGTATTATTAGTCGCTCTAATTTGTTTACAGGGCATTTTGTGAAAAGTGCTTGTCAAATAAATCTTGAGGTTTTTTTCCAGTCTTGTGTTCTGTTTTGTTTGGTTTTCATCGTTTGCTCCTCTCAGCTTTCTTTGCATTAATTTATTTGTAAGGAGTATAAAGTACAGATATTAGTATTAAAATTTAGAGAGGGGGGGAAAAAACTACTTAAGTACAGATAACTAAAAATTATACTTAAGTACAGTAATGTAGTTTGCTATTTGCCACTTCTGCTGACAGTTAAAAGCATTTCTTCCTTCTGTAGCCATAGCTAAATGCCATCATACCAAGGCCACACCTCTGCTCGTTCTGGCCAACTTTACAACCCTAATATAACATAACCCCGATAAAATATAAAGACTATAAAGTACACACACAGTAAAAAAAATAAAAAAATAAATAAATATTTAAGTAAAGGAAAGATACCTGAAAATTCTACCTAAGTACAGTCATGGACTATTTGTGCTTCATTACTTCCCATCCCTGCATTTAACCCTTAAATTTCCAGTTTACATGATCAAACACCTTGTTTTAGGACGTCCATGTGCAGCGGGCTTGCTGCATGATTTGTTGTTATGAAAATTACATTAGTTCCTTACATTTATTGTATTAAAATACAGTATTTCCCGAAACGTAGTAAAACATTAACTAGAGAAACGTGTGTGTGTGTGTGTGTGTGTGTGTGTGTGTGTGTGTGTGTGTGT